CGGCACCAGGCGAAGTATATTCATATATATCTCAAGTTTATTAAGTTTTATTATCTTATGATCAATCGTGTGTGATCGGGTAGCAGCTGATAGAGTAGAGTAGAGTGGAGTAACCTTTTCAATATATATGAATGTGATTGATTGTAATTTTGTAATTTTGGTCATTGTTACTGGTTTTTTTTAACCTGTAAGTAAATAGGTCAGCTGTTTACAATATGATTAAAAATGATTTTCTTAAGTATTCAATCTTATTCATAAATATTAGATAATAAATAGTATGTCTATATTGTAACGACATCCATCTATTGACCGCATTCTTGAAAAAAATTTCAATTAATCTTGTCTTGTATTCATTGTTTTAATCACTGAATATAAAATAAGACGATGGATTTGTTGATGTTATGTATTTGAGTTATTTTGTGTACAAAATGAATACTCTCACTGTCTCTCACTCTGTACGCTTGTATGTCTAAGTTTAATTTTGTGTTATTAGTGTAAATGCAAGTCAAGTGATTATGTCATTATGTGCTATACTGTGTAGATAGATGTATCAGGTTGACCTGTATGCTTATTTCTGTAGTGCTAGGTTGTTATGAACTGTTATTATTATTTATTATTATTATTATTATTATTATTATTATTATTATTACTTATCTTGGCTGTTTATCATCATAAAATGCAATCACACTTTGTTTATTAGGTCAGTTTATGTAGATAAAATAAAATTGTAAGTTACATAATAATCAGGTTTGTAACCTACATAAACACTTCTTAAGATAAATAATCACAAAAGTCGTCGTCGCCTACACACACATATATAAATATATATATACTATAATAATATATATTATATATTGGGACATAATGCTAGAGAGTTCTCTCTCTCTCTCTAGTCAGTCAATTACAACGTGGAACTTCGTACGTACGTAAGTACATCAGTTTAGGTTGTCATACTATTTTAGCACAGAGATGCAACTCTCAGTTCAAATCCCACAGTCGTAGAGGTAGTAGAAGTTTTAGCATATAAAAAAAATTGGGGTTCGAAGATATTATTCAAGAAGTATAATTCGTTTGAGGTAACTTTAGAAAGTGAAAGAGATGATCAGGAATTCTGAAAGTTAGAATTTGAGAGAACACAGAGTGGATGGACCTCTGACAATGCGAAGGATTTGAGCCATGTCATCCAAGGTCTCTAACCATCGGTTAGTTTCATCTTGCAGACCACAACCAGATAGTTCTAACATCTACTAACATGCTTCAGTTCAGTTGTCATTGACTTCATGGATTGTGCCATGTTTTGATCTGGCCTCCCCTAACTTTCTTCCAAACCTATTCCTACACCGCAAAATATAGCTGGACGAAGCAGTCGTTGGTTAGGCATACGCCGCACCACATGTTCAATACCACCTCAACTAATGAAGTTTCACTACTTCATCTGCTGATTTGCCATCCCTACCTAGAACTCGTTTACTAACGACGGTATTGCCTACTCGGTTGTCCCAGGATGTATGAGCCATTCTTCGGAGACACCTATAATCGGAAAAACGCAATCTACGATTATCCTCCACTTTTACTGGCCATAAAGTAAACGGAGTGAACTGCTGCACAGTACACTCGTCCTTTGGTTAGCAGACAGTTATCTCGCCTATGCCATAAGTGACACAAGTTGATGAAAAGCCAGCCTGCCGAGATTTCTTCACATACTAGGCTGTCAGGACACATTCAAGTACTTCACTTCATAAACATTTATTAATCTATAACATAAATATTTTCACTTTATGTACAACCTTGATGTTCTGTTTTGCAGTACATTATAGAAAGATCATTTTATAGAAATTTCAGTTGTTTAAGGCAGCGAAAAGATGCATGATTCCTTTGACAATATTGAAAATAACCAGCACAACTGTAAACATCATAAATAAAAATAATTTTTTAAAAAATAAACATGCATCATAATATTGAAAGTTGCATTGAAAATGGGACTTCATAATTATTATCATGACATAAAGTCAATAAACCCTATGTCTAACCCCTCTTCGTTTGTCTGGGTTTGGAGAACGGTAGTAGCCTAAAGAGGATCTGCGAGAAAATTTTAGCTGATGATTAGAGACGTTGGAATGACCTGGCTCAAAATTGTTTACAATGACACAAATGCATCCACATTCTATGTCATCATTAAAATTCTAAATCTTCTGAATTACTCATCACCTTTCTCTTTTTAAGTTTATACTTCTTGAATAACATCTTTGAACTCAATTTTGTTTTCTGATTACCGCGAATTCCATTTTCTGTGGTAATGTACTATGGCAACTTGAGCTGGTAGAGGTAGTAGAATTATCAGCAGTAATCGGAAGATTAGGGGTTGAACATGTTGTCCAAAGAGGGTAATCTAGTGAAATAAATTTAAGAAAAGAAAAATAAAGGTGATGAGGAATTCATAGATTAGAATTGGAGAGAACACAAAGAATGGATACACCTACACCATTGCAAGCAATTTTGAGCTATGTCATTCCAGGTCTCTAACCATCAGTTCTCGCGGGCCCCAAACCGGTAGTCTACCTTACCGACGTGGTTGTGTTCCACTTTTCAGAGACTTCACTCCTTAGTCATAATCAAAAACATGGACGTCGGCTCTTTTAGTCAACTATAAAAATTCAGTGCCTGAATATGCTTGATTGTTTTTCAATCATCAAACTGAAATGAACAGTAGATTCTGTTAATGTAACTTATTTTTTAGTTATATTACTGTTACACAAAGTTTGTTTTTATTCAGTTTTTATCACATTTCAAATTTTTCATTATGCAGTTATGGAAACTACTGTTTGTTACTGAAATCATGAATCACTCATTTTCAGGCTACCATTAGAAACCTGGAAGTAGGCTTTGTGGATGCGTGCTGCTGATGAGTCCTTAACCAAGACGAAACGGCTGTCTTTCTCAATACTTTCAGGTTCTAATGATGGTCTAACAATGATTCATTCATGATTTTAATTATTCTTATTGGTATTATTATCTTAGTAATAGATCGAATCTGGCTAGTAGAGTGACATTCGTGATTACACGATTCGTCCTATTTCGAATTGGTTTTAGTTTGATTGCACCTGTATCTCAGAGTGGATGTTCACTTCGGGGACTCAAATTCAACATCAGTTGTTTTAAATACTATCATGTTATTACCTAATTAGTTGTTGAATCCAAATAGGCATTCAACTTGTGCGAAATACTTTGAACTATTTGATTGGTGATATTTTTCATTGAAATTTCATATCAATATTTTTTCGTTCTTACTCCTAAAGTCCAACATCAACTCTGTAATGTAAAGTTTATTCAGCTAAAGATGAATCCTACAATTACTACTAAACATGCTATGTGAACTTGTCTCATCATGTGAACTATAACGAGACAGTACACGCAGGATGCTTCATATATACTAACTAACTAACCAAAGGACTAATCACATTTCTGTCTGCCATTATTTATTATTATATTATAATAATAATAATAATGCAGACAGAAATGTGATTAGTCTTTGGTTAGTTAGTTAGTATATATGAAGCATCCTGCGTGTACTGTCTCGTTATAGTTCACATGATGAGACAAGTTCACATAGCATGTTTAGTAGTAATTGTAGGATTCATCTTTAGCTGAATAAACTTTACATTACAGAGTTGATGTTGGACTTTAGGAGTAAGAACGAAAAATTTGATATGAAATTTCAATGAAAAATATCACCAATCAAATAGTTCAAAGTATTTCGCACAAGTTGAATGCCTATTTGGATTCAACAACTAATTAGGTAATAACATGATAGTATTTAAAACAACTGATGTTGAATTTGAGTCCCCGAAGTGAACATCCAC